CTAAGCATAGCCTCATCCTAGCCTTAACCCTAATTCTAACACTAAACCCCGCTAACTCTAGGCATAATTTTACCCTAGCCCTAACCCTGATTGTAACACTAAACCCCTCTGACCCGAAGCAACCCAAACTCTAACCCTAACCAGGTAATGGGCTCCTGCCCTAACCCTATCCTCAACCCTGACTTAAACCCTTTACCATAGCTTAGGATTGGTTTGGGGTTTGGGTTAGGTTTAGGATAGCACAGAGTTAGAGTGAGCACAGGACGAAATAGCATGATTCCGTAATTCGGAAAAATGAAACTCTATGTTTCCACATCATTCACTTCTTCCTTGGACCTGTTATGTTTCCGTTATGATTCCTGAACGGAAATATGACGATACGTTTCCGTTGCATTTCTGTCAACGGAATATTATCATCGCCTGTTTCCGTTACGTTTCCTTGTACGGATTCAAACTTTTACCGTCAAGTAAAACATATATTTATAAAGTGCTGTACAGTTCTTACACCACGTTACCATGAAGACGTGATCGTTCGAGGACAACAAAGGCAAATTGACGTGCATTAGGTGTGTACGTTCGTAGGAATCATAAGAAGTCCTAGAAGCTTCGATGTTTTACACTGAGTTATGTGCATGTTAATTTTGGAACTGTTTCGAAACCTTACAAAATTGAATCTTTTAAACTTACTCTGTGCTTAGATTTTTAAGCAGCTGGATCATTTGAGCCAGTTTAGTCACTCAAACCAGCAATACAATACTAGGCTAACTGGATAGTTTTAGGGTTAGGGTTAGGATTTTCAAGTAGGCACACGCAGTTGTGTGGATATTGTGGTACATGGAGTTTAGTAGAGTGTAGATTTTAGCAGTATTTGCCAGTGTTGACATATTTATAAAATTATGGTTCCAAAGTGCGTGTCACTGTTGAGAACCCAAGAAAATCATGAGAAAGTCGCCGATGGATTAGCCATAAAAATAAGCCCAACTCTGAGTCAATGCCAAACCAGAAGAAAGTTGTGGAACTCGCGCCAATGTAAAAAAAAAAAAAACAACTGAGGTTCGAAGTATGGGTCGCTAACATCCTATGAAAATCATGGGAAAGTCGAGGAGATTGGTCATGGTACCAACCAATGCCACTTTCCCATGAAAATCAAGAAACCTGTGGTAACTAGCCAACATATGCTAGAATGACAATCTTTAATAAAATTCATATCTAATAAGGATGTGTGAAATGGCCAATATCGCTCTTGGCCGAGATACTGGTTTGCCGTGTTTTGGCAGTTATTTTGGCGAATATGGTTAAAATCAAATCTGTGTAAAAACAGTAAAATCAACGAGTTATTGAGGTTCGTCAACATAGGGAGGGTCCTCTTAGTCTAGAGAAAAACTTCTGCCCACGGCTAAAGGCGTTAAATTAATAAATTGATATATCTGGGCGGCATATCACACAGCAACACTAAACTTCTCCTTTCTCACAGCTTTTTCCCCTTTCACTTCTTTGCTAATTCCATTTTTTTTAAAGTAAAAACTCGTTTTGGAGGCATAAAGGTCCCTAAAGCAACGTTTCAAGATTTTATGGCGATCTTGTGAAAAACATGTAGTTCCAGCTAGTTTAGAGGGTTTTGGCAGCTATTTACACAAAAAGTGGGTAAAATCAGCCCAAATTTTACTGAGAAGACTGCGTTTTAGCTGGAATAAGTGTTTTCACATGGATTGTATCCTTATTTTGTTAAAGACATCGTGCTTTTGAATGTAAAATAGGCTGATTTTTGCAAAAAAAAAAAAAAAAAAAGTGTTTTTCAGGTCGAATTGAGCGCTTTTGTCAACTTTTGCGTAAAATTTGGCAAAAACTCGCGCGTTCTGCCGGATTTTGGTGTTTTTAGATAGATTTCATTGCAATTTTACGAAATACATGTAGTTTCAGCTAGTTTGCAGCGTTTTGGGCATGAGACCGGCAAGAGTGATGGTAGACACTCTTAGCAGAGATAATTGTGCTAGCAGATATTAAAATTTCACCTGTAAAGACAATGAATTAATTGAACACAAGAAAAAGGAAACTTGATAAAAAAATTAGAATAATGGCGGGGAGAAAAGAGGGCTGCACTAAAGATTATGTACTTGTGTTCTTGAAGCTGAAAATTAACAAGGTTCCTAACAATTTTTGAAAATCACACAAATCCCAAGCTATATCCAGGGTTTTCTCTTGATAAAATTAACTCTTAAAACAAATTGGGATTTTACCTTGGTCCTTTTTTTTTACTTTTTATGTACATTATTTATGTATAAATAATGCTCCCCTGACCCTCCCCCAAATTTCCAGAGCAAATGGAAACTCTTAAGAATGATCAAGCTTTACCTTATTATTTAAAATTTTTACATCTTGAATTATCAAGTTATCACAGAGGATTTCTTGGTACTTTAACCTGTTTAACACCCTAAAAGAAGTGCACATATATACTACACACAATCAGCCCAGTCAAAATGTGCCACAGCTGACAATTTGGCTGCCTGCCACAATATAGCTGCCGCTAACTTCACACTTTTCACACTTCCATTCAAGACAAGGTTCAGCCTCTGCTGCCTATTACTATCACCAGCTTGCCTTCCACTCAAAAACATTTTGACTGAGCTCATCCATACATACATACATAAGTGGGAGATTAGGTTACATGAGCGAACCTGCACTATTGAAAGAGATCAATGAATTACAATTCAAAGAAACATTGATAAATAAAATAAATCAATAGAAATGACAAAAATCAAACTAACAGCAGACAGTACTCTTTCAGCCTTCTGGACCTGAGCAGTGCAGTGATCTTCAACTAAGTGCTTAATTTGGACATAAAACCAGAACTTGGTATAGCTAAATATTATTATTTTTCTTTTAATATTCCCACTCCAGCTGATGTGTATTATTTGAATTACAAGTCTTATTAGCATGCAAAATCACCTACGGACAAGGCACACACTTTGGACATAAAACCAGAACTTGGTATAGCTAAATATTATTATTTTTCTTTTAATATTCCCACTCCAGCTGATGTGTATTATTTGAATTACAAGTCTTATTAGCATGCAAAATCACCTACGGACAAGGCACACACTTTGCACCAAAATAGCTTTGCATCAAGTACATTATCTAGTACATCATTACCATCTTCAGGTATTTCTAATTTACTTGTGAAAATCACACAAATCATAAGCTATATACAGCATACAATCAGCAGCAAATTATTAGAAAGGAATGCAGTAAATTTTAATAAGAATATTACTAAGTAGTTAAATAACAAATAGCCCAGTAAAATTGTGCCCGTTGCTGGGAATTTGGTTCTCAATAAAATTAGCTAAAATAGCCAATCTTGAGTTTTACTGCTCACTCAAAATGGGCTGGCAGCTTACAATTTGGCCGCCTACAATGAAGTACCTTCCGCTAACTTCACATTTTTCAGACTGCTTTTCAGGAAGAGGTTTGGCCAGCTTTTCTACTACTCAAAAACATTTTGACTGGGCTGTGCAAGTCTTACTAGCATATAAAAAGCACCTTCAGGTAGATTACAGCAAAGCAGACTTTGTACCAAATGCTCTGCATTAAGTACATCATTAACTTCTTCAAGTATTTCTAGTTTACTTGTGAAAATCCCACAAATCACAAGGTATATTACATTATACATTCCAGTTGACAAAGCAATCAAGGGTAATTTTTTCATAATGGATGCAATGATCTTCAGTATCAAGATTATTTGGTACCTAAATAATAAAATGTTCGAGAGAAGAAATAATCATAAACATTTTTTCTTTCTCATCAGCATCGACTTCCAAAAGTAATGGATAATGACCACTTAAAACAAAGAAGAAATAAATCAAATTTGTGATTTCACAGGGCTTCAATACGAAACAACTATACATATCTTTTATTTCCTACCACTTACAAGTGGCAGGAATGGCTGAAATGGCCTTCACGTGAACACAACAGAATCCTATGCGTGTGTAACCATGTAGAACTATTTATTCGGTATCGAAATTACATCCCAAATGTCATGATATTTGACTGAAACTCAGCTTACCCATCTTTCGTTTAGACTTCGAAACTTGCTGCTTTTTACCACCGTTTCAATGTTTTCTTGTTGTTCAAAAGGTGGTAGGGCCATTGCAGACCGTGATTTTTTTTTACTTGAGAACCAGATCACAACACCCAAGCCTTTTCACGCTAAATATTAAACTACTGAGATTTCCTTCGCCGCCGTAAGCCGCCATTTTATCTTTCCCTGAATACTAGTTCCCAAGCTTCGAGCCCGAAGGTCTCAGACATGCACTGAAATTATGATATTCGTTATTTCAGGGCCAATTTAGAAATAACGGTAATCGTTATCTTGGTGTCGAGATCATGCTGATCACAACTGAACGCACATTTACCCCTTTCCTCCGCCATCTTGAATGTTGTAAGACAGTGGAACCGAGTCCTTCTCTTTATTTAACACGGTAAAGAGCATTGGTAAAGAGTGCCACGAAATTACTATATCCATAAATTTGGTGCCAATTTAGAAATAACGATAATCGTAATTTCGGTCTCGAGATCATGTTGTATGATACAAACCTTGCTGCTTTTGAAATGCAAATTAATTTGTTATCATGCTAACTAGATTCAGGTCTCTAACACAACAAGGTCACCTTCAGCCTCACTCCAAATCAAAGGCTTGGCAACAACTGTAAAATGGCCTGTTCCAGCAAATTCCGATCCAATCAAACCTGAAGAAACTGTTTCTATTTAAGTCATCAATGACGTCATGCACACACCATCAATCATATCACAATGGACCCCTGGAATTATTCAGTTACCACACCACAATAAAAGGGCATGATATTGCCAATGAAGTGTCATACAACAACATGATAGCAACGTGTCGAGCTCTCCGTGCGGAATTGTTTTCTTTACTTTCCTCTAGCAGCCATACCTCCGCCAAAGCGATCTCAAGGTTTAGCTCAGGAAATTTATCGAGATAGTTGTGGTGGGATCAGCCGCTATGGCGTGTGGTGGAATTACCATTTATATGTTTTCAGGTACGATTGAGATCAACTAAATGTTTTAAGTATGAGAAGCTTGAGCCTAATATTTTTAAGTTATGAAGTATGTTATTGTTATATTTATTCGGTCGTACCGAGACCGAAGATTATTCTCAATCGATATTGCTATGACTTTTGTTGTGGTGTTCGGATGGCACGAGAAACGGAGATATATTCTTTGATTTCAACACAGAACTTTTAATAACTTCTAACATGTGTCGTCGCCATTACCGGAAGTGATCATACATCGAATCATGAACGGAAGCGAGGCTGAATTAATGTAAACGTAAATCGAATACAGCACATTTGTCAAGATGTTATTATTACTGCAAAAAAAAATAATAGATTTAATTTTCGGTTGATTCATTTTCGTCTGATGTGTTTGATTATTTACCAGGCGAGTTGATATTTCGCTACCGCTAAAGTAGATGCGAAGAATGGAGCAGGAAGTGCTTCAGCATAAAGTAAACAAACTACCGTATTTACTTGTGTATAAGTCGAACTCGCGCACAAGTCGACCCCCCATTTATACAACTACAAAAATACCTGATCAGATACATCGCTGTACGCACGCAGAACTAGTTTGATTATTTCGTGCCGGAACAATCATACCATATTCTTCGCATCCACTTTAACAGTAACGAAATATCAACTCGCTTGATATATAATCAAACACATGAAACAAAAAAAGAAGTCAATTTTGAGCATATAAACGCTCCACGACAGTGGAAATAAGTTCGTAAACGGGTAGTGGGTGGTTGACTCAAAGCCCGAACTTTCGCGGTTTATTTACATTAAAAGGCACGTGACTCTTCACGCGAAATCTTAAATCTAAAAGGTGAATTTAATGTGTTGTGTATTAAGCACGTCACCTCCTGGTTAGCAATTATTCGTTTTATCAAAAGAGGTCTTTTCACTATTTATAACATTTTGCTTTTCCTCTTACTTGTCTGTTTGTTTGTTTGTTTTTGTTTATCGCCAATAGAAGCTGATACAACCCTTGAGGATAATAATTTAGGCTACCAAACAGGAGAATATGCTGGGATTGGAGGCAAGACTAGATCCTGGATTGGATTAATTGATATGGTAAATTGTTAATGTCTATTTGAAGCTATCCTTCAAATTTTTGTGAGATGTGCTTGCATTGTGTAGGGCAAATACCACAATATTTTTTAAAATTGTATCATCAATATTGCAAAATGGTAAAATTTCAATTAAGAGAAATAACAGATATTGCAGCTGTGTTTTGTAATTGAAATGATACAACTTGTTTTTAAGTATATGAAAGAGAAAGAGAAAGAGAGGAGAGAGATTGAGGAAAGACGGCACTACCCTTTGGATATGAGATTGAAGGAGAATATTGTTGGACAAGAAGAAGCCATTCATACAGTTGCTGCAAGTATGATGTTCTATAGGACAAAATTAGTTTTGGAAGGCCACATTTTGGCAAATTTGGGAATAATATTCTACTGAATCTGTTCATTTGTTTGCAGCAATTCGTAGAAGAGAAAATGGTTGGTATGATGAGGAACATCCCCTTGTGTTTCTCTTTCTTGGATCTTCAGGAATTGGTAAATTTGCTTTCTTGGAACAGATTCAGTTACACATTTGAGCTTACTCACATAAAACATGCACAATCTGATATTGCATTATTAATGACTGTGACTTTAATCAGATTTGCTTGTAACAGATTTCTGGAGCTCTGCATATGAAAAAGTTACATTATTAATGCAGTATGATCCTGCATTCAAGTTTCTAAGTTGTAGGGAAAGACTTCTATTCGTGTATCATTATTCTCTCTGATTGTTCTTCCCTGTAGGAAAAACAGAGCTTGCCAAACAAGTGGCTAGGTATCTTCAAAAAGGCAACAAGAAGGTAATACAGGATTTTTTTAAAAATTTAATTTTATCACTTTGTTAAATTCTGTAAAAGTCACTGCCTGTTGTCGTTCTTTCTCCCAGGGTTTTATAAGACTGGACATGTCTGAATACCAAGAGAAACATGAGGTAAGAGTTGATTCAAATAAAAAACTCAAAGAACATTTAAGACTTCCATCCATTGTTTTACTATCTTAGAAAAAAGAAAACTCTTTTGACAAAGACAACTAAGGTATAAGGGTTATATGGGCAGCTAAGGGGAGGGGGGGGGGGGAAGATGGGGGGCAGAATTCTCTTCCTTAAAAAGTTCCGGATTCCCCAGAGTTGTGGTAAGACGTATAAATTGGGCCCATTCTGTCGAAAATTTTGGCTGATACTGACGCCTCTACTTTATATTACACAGAAATTTTCAATTGAGGGTGGAAATCAAGCCAGTTAAATTGGTTTTGTTTGATTTTGTTTTACTTTGCTCTGTGGTTAGTCCAGAAAAGTCACACCACCCACTAAACCAATAAGATTCAAAACTAAAACCAACTGCGTCTTCATCTCTCACATTCTCCCACACCTCAAGCAGTGTGCTTCTTATTACTCTCAATTCCCATTGGCTCGTTGTGATATTTTCTTTTGTTTTTATTGGCTGTTGTGCTTGCTTTGGTCTTGATATTACACTCAAATGAAGAGCCCTTAAACTGGAATTTAAACATCATTCTTTCAAGGTTGCAAAAATGATCGATTAAAATCACCTTTTTTTTGGTGACTAAAATTTCTGGGCTCATCTCATTTTTTAATGTCTTTTTAGGTGGATAAGGCCCACCCAGACATTTTAACAGTCATGCTCTAGTTGTTTGATGAGGTAGTATCTATACTTAAATTTGAATGAAGATTGTTTTTTTTTTTTTTATAAAATTTTTCATTTTGTTGTTTTGTTGTTTTCTTTCTTTTTAAGTTTTGATGAAAAAAAAAAATCTCTTTTTTTGATTCAGGGTCGTTTGACAGACGGACAGGGGAAGACGATTGTATGCAAAGATGCCATTTTCGTGATGACTTCAAACCTTGCTAGTGAAGAAATAGCAAATCATGTATTGGAACTGAGAAGAGAAGCAAAACTAGCTGCTGAACAAAGACAAGAAGGTGAGTTTTGTTGTGGAGGCTTAAATTTTGCTAATGCTGGGCGGTGAAATGCAGGATAAATTTGGAAAGACGTGCAATGTTTCATAATACAGATTTGTACTTCATTCCAGTTACTTGTGAAATAATAGCCAGTCTGGCTGGAATACAAAAGAAGAAGGGAGGGGAATGGGGATAAAGTTAACACAAACACACTTAAACAAGTTTCTTTGGGAAGAAAAGTTTGTTCTTTTTTTCCAATGTGTATGTGTCCTTGTGTTGCATGGGCTGGAGTTCACTGTTTTTCTTTTCAGGTGGAGAAGTAAGTGAAAAGGTTACTATATCAAGAAAGTTTAAAGAAAGAGTGGTCCAGCCTATTCTGAAGGTAAACATCCCTTTGGCGATAAATTACAGCAAACCTGGTAAACATTTCTTTGGCAATAAATTGAAACAAACCTGGGTCTATAAAGTTAAGAAAAATAAGTGATGTCTTGAGAATTGGTTCTTTTTTGTTAAAGCTAAAGGGTAGTTGTCATAACATGTTCCCAAAAGCTTTTTGTTTCTCTTCGTATCACCAGGCTCACTTCGGACGAGACGAGTTCCTGGGTCGCATCAATGAGATAGTTTACTTCCTACCATTTTCACAGCCAGAGCTTTTAAGCTTAGTGAAGAAAGAGCTGGATTACTCGTCAGAAATGGTCTGTAATGTGCTCTCCTGTAACCTTGAATGATCTCAAGCAGTTGTTAAAGAAGTAAATTAAGTCTGTGCCCAATTTCTTCTTTGTTTGATTACAGGCGTTGAATCGACATGATATCCACATAAGTTGGGATAAAGAAGTCTTGGATATACTGGCTGATGGCTACGACGTACATTACGGAGCGAGATCCATAAAACACGAAGTATGATCAATTCTGTGTTTACTACTTTACTTTGTGGTGTAGTTTCACCCTCCCCTTCTCCACTAAAATACTCACACCTCTTGATTTCCATGGCTTTTTGTCAGTTTTTTTCTCTCCTCTTCACTGAAGTGTTTTAATACAATTCAATGCCAACCTAATGAGAAATTGAAAATAACACGAGACTTTTTTTTTTATATAACTAGCACTAAAACAATGAAATGGAGGGGAAAAAAATCACCATTGAAAGGAGAATGTGTTGCTGGCAAATAGTGGAAATGCTGGTAACACAGTCTGAAATTGAATGAAATGCTGTAGCTGTTGGCAAGTGCAGAAAGTCTTTCTTTGTAGTGTGGTAACATATTCATAGTCAAAGGAACCTCACCTAAATGTTTGTTATTTGAGTAAAATACCAAAAAAAGGAGAACTGAATCAGGTTTATGAATTATTCTCATGCAGAAATTATTGGTTGTGATACAGGTTGAAAGAAGAATTGTCAATCAACTTGCTGCTGAGCATGAGCAAGAGTTGATAAGTTCCGGATGCACCCTGCACTTAACAGTGAGCCGCCCCAAAGATAACTCAGAGGAAGTAGCTCCTACCATCAAACTGCAACACATTACGGAAGCAGGGCATGAAATTGCACCTAATACAGGTGCCAATGAGAATAAATTTTTCTCTTTGGCTACTAAATTTTTCTCTCTGGTGATCAAATCCTGAAAATTAGGCACCAAACTGGCAACTAGAATGCTTCATCATAACCTTACCTAAAGATATAATGAGCTAAAAAGATTTGCAAAAGTAAATCCGCAGCAAACTTCCTCTTTAAGTTTGTTTCCAAAACACAGCACATGCATCTCAATCGCTGACTAGACACCATTTTGGATTTAGGTGAGCTTAAAGGTTGTATATCATCCATCCTAGAGTCCACTTTGTGGCACATAAAAGATCTTTTTCCTAACTTCATTTTGGAGGTTCTATCTAGGACGCTGACAGCGTAAAGAAAGGGTTTGTTTGTCTTTAAAAATGGCAATCAACTTTTTTTGAATTGGGTACCACTTTGAAAAATTTAGGAGCCAAGTGGCTTTCAGGAAAAAAATCAATTTCATGCCCTGCATTGATGTTGGAAACTATTTTGTTCCTGAAGATAAACCGTTCTGTTGAAGAAGAGAAAGCAAGCAACAATCGACCCAGGAACGGAAATGAATTTGAAGACACTTGGTCTTGAGGATTCAAGACTAACTGTAGATATTTATACCATTTTGGTCTTTCTGTCATGGTTATGCTTGTCATTTATTGACATTGCAGTGAAATTTGTGTAAAATGAGTACAACAGGAGCTATTTTTGTATATTACCACAATTATAATATTGTTTTGATTTTGTTTGATTTTGTTTTCCTCTGTCTTGGATTGGAAATTTTTTAACCAAAGCCACAACATACATAACAGGTATGCTTGCTTTAATTTAAACCCGGTTTCCTTTTCTTGCTTTGCCTTGGACTTCAGACATTTTCCCATCTATCTGGTGAGGTACACATTTTGTGTTCATTGTTGTTGAGTGGCAAACACATCATTCTCATCTTTTTCTAATCTTGTTTTATTGATGCTGGTTCTTTTTCTTCTTGTATAGCCACCCAGATGTAAAAACCAACAATAATATGAATGACTATCACAGTTACTCCTGCTGCACCTATTGCACCATTTGGATAACCCAGTATATCTGAAAAATACAGGAAAGTAGGAGTGATATCACTAAAGTAGCTTTCTACAATGAGTTAAAATAACATGTAGTGTAATGGTTACAACAAGTGTAACCTATTCTATTATGCAGGTTCTACAAAACTGGATGAGAGAGACTATCAGCCTGAATAAAGAGTTAAAATTTCTCTTACTATAATTTTTTAAGCTAATATAAGGGACTCTATTTTTCTGTTTATTTTTAACCCTCTACACCCTAACATCAGTATGCATATTCTCCATACTGTTCTCTATACATCCCCTAAGGTGCTGACAAGAAGGATTTGTTTAACATTCAAGAGCTTCCTTAGTCAGTGATCATTTCCTCTATTCTCAAGACCTGCATGTGTGATTCAGGTGTGATATTAGATGATCATCACTCTTAGGAGTGTAAGGGTTAATTATCATTGAGAGGATATCAATACTGACACCCAAGGCAGAGCTTTGTGACATTTCTGCATGCTTCAGCATCACATGAAAATACTTCACAATATCAATGCACCATTAGGCTGACAATTGATGATCATAAAGAAAAATATCAAATAGGAAACTATTAATTAGTGGAAAAACAAATTCCTAGGACAAAAACTGCAAGAAATATGTAGGGAAAAATGTGAAATTTGGGAAAATTACTATTGAAATCTTGGGAGTGGAAGGGGAAATTAAGGAAAACTTCTGTAGATTTTGTACCAAAAATAATATGGTTACCTCCAAAGAAGATTTTCTTGAAAAGGAAAAAGTAGGAGATTGGTAACAAAATCATGGCTACTAAGGTAAACTTCAAAAGAGTTATTAGAACTGACTTCTTATGAGGCCTGTAAATCATACAATCAATCAATCAATCAGTCAGTCAGAAAGCCACTCAATCAATCAATTGGTCCATTTGTAAGTTAGTCTGTTGGCCAATTCTTGCTTGGTCCATTGATGTCCGATCATCAATCAATCAGTCAGTCACCTAATCAGCAAGTCAGTAAGTCAATCAATCACTGAAACAGTCAATCATTCAATTAATCAATCAGTCATTCATTCATAGCACCATACAATCAGTCAGACACCTAGGAAATCAAAGAATCAATCAATCAACTGATCAGAAAATAAGTCAGTCAAACAATCACGAATTACGTCAGTCAGTCAATCAGCCTGACAATTATTAATGGTAAGTCTTAATGCAAAGCCTTTCGTCGATAAAAACTCTAAAAAAGCACTGTTCCCCCTTCCAAAAATTATGACTCATGAATCTCATTTCTAAGGCAAAGGAAAAATCACATTGTGTACAGTTACAGTCAACTCGTGTATTTATCTGATACAACGACAAAGCCCCGTTCCACCACTCTCTAGCACTTTGACAAATACAAGACCGATGAAACTCACCCATAGGGTTGCCCTTGACTATCAGATGCATTCATTACCGGGGCCAGGCTGGAACCGGTTATAAAATGCTGTCTGTTCCTTTTGTTTTTTCAATGTCTCGTTTCCAGGGCCCCGCTTTCCGCTGTGACAAAATCGTTGTCACTGTACTATTCCTTGAGTCTGCAAACAGAAGCTGGCAAGCGTTTCTCAGTATTTTGGTGTTCGGCGGTTTCCACGTGGCCTTCGTCACACTCTGATTCTCCGCTACTTTTGCTTGCTTTTTCTCGATCTAGAACGATTTTGTCGCTGCGCTTTCCTTCTTCGTGTATTGAATATTAACAAATCTCCTTTTGTTTCGTTTAACACTACGAAATTTACCAAAACAAGGTTGTGTATGTATCCTTAAAGTGTCTCCTGTATTCCGAAAACTAGTCACCAGTCTTCTAAAACAGAAAATGAAGTGTAAACAATACAGTTTCCATGGCAACCGATTAAATCGCTTTCAAAAACTTTGAAAATCCACCAAAATTGCCCGTAAATACGGAAAAAACAAAGTGATATTGATTATATTACGTCTAAAGTTTTTAAAAACGCGGGCACCGTGTGCTATTGGAACAAGTCTTCCGGAATTACAATTTTTTTTCTCAAAAGAATATTTGTGATAAAATAGACTTTCATATCGCGCGACAAACTTGGTGATGTAAACAACCCTTATGCATGCTAGTCTAAACGTGGGTTACCAAGGCAAAAGTGGCCCCGGTAAAATTCACGAAGTGATTCTCGTTGTTTTTAGGAATTTCGTTTAAATTTATCGATAAGTTACTAGATCTGTACTGCGGTCACGAAATACCAAACTCCTTAAAAGAACCCTCGATCTATGTATGCTACCATTACTATCCGCCATTTTCGTTTTCAGCTGATAAAAGATGAGGTGCACTGGGACTAAAAGTTCATGCCCTCACGGTCTTCGTCCGCCTTCGTAAGAACTTTGACAACGTCCTTCGTCTGTGGCGTTACAGTTGTGTCTTCTGTTGTAGTTATGTCCTCGCACCTGATAACCAATAGAATGCGGTTTTATTTATTCCGATCAAAGCGTTGTGAACGTGTCTTCTGCGTATCACTTCCCAACTAGGGGAGGGATGCAGATGCAATGCAAAAAAATTGTGAGAAGATCGTTAAGATTTCCGCGTTCGAAGTTTGAGAATTTCTTGGGCTATCTTTGTTTCACGGACTATCCTTGTTTCATGGGCAATCCTTGATGCCTTTTGGGACACTTCGGCTTGGTGACAGATTAAGATTCTGGTTGCGTTTTTAATTGTGAATTATTAGCGTAATTTTCTTCGATACGTCGGAAAGCTTAGGAAGACGAGAATTTGATATTGCCTCGTGGCTTCTCTTTTGGTTTGGAGTGCGCTGGTGATCGAAGTTGTGCTTTTCTGTCGGAACGAGTACATTAAGGTAAGGTTTCAATTGCATTTTATACTAATATTTTTGTTAAATTTAAATATTATCAAAGATCGCGTTCAAGTTTTGGGCTAAATACTGTAGATCTCGTGTGGCTGCATGGTAAAGCGTGCGAGTAGGAAAAAAAGAGAGACGTCTAGAGATGAGAGGCGTGGAGTGGGCGTAGCCGCAAAAGAAAGAACCCAGGATGATATTAACAGAGGAAGACATAAGAGAAGAGGTAAGTGTAAAACCAAGCATTTGACTGTTGACTGACTATAAAAGGTCCCATTTCAGTGACATGTCTAACAAGTCGCTTGAGGCTTCCTTCCAAGTGACCCATAAATAATAAGATTACACACAGCACACGATTGTAGTGAATGTGTAGTTGAAGTGTTGTGTTAAATCATGTATATCTCGCTCAAATATCTACAGGAAACACCTTGGTCGAAAGAGACAAATCTCAGTTTTAATTTGATAACTATGGCAACATCAAAATCTTGTGAAAGATAGTAGGAGAAAACATTGTAGGAACAGTCAAAATTCTGGTACAGGTATTTCATGAAGATGAATAATAAAATGTATACACAACTGTTGATGTGTCTGGTGCCAAAAGATTCCATTTTGTCTAACCTCGACCCAAAAGGTTTTATCGTTTAAGTCTGAGGTGAGGTTAGATGATGCTCACTTGAGGCAGGACTTTTAATTAGGACTTTAGTTTTTCCCCTACTCAGAGAGGTTAAAGCTCGAGGACATTTACCTGGAAAACTTCCCTTCCCTCTTATTTGGACTGCAACAACATTGTGCTTGTCTGTAATTTTCTCATTTATGTTTTTATTCTAGTTTGTTGTCACAAATAATAATACAATAAATCAATAGGTTGCCGCCAATATGCACATGCATCTGTATGTACAGCGACTTCTGGGAAAATTTCTCATTGCCTGAAAACATTTTTAATACTAAATTGACTTAAATTCCAAGGGTGTGAGCAATATGCAGACCCTTTTCAACAATCAGAACATCACAGTGGTGAAACATAACACCAAAACTTGCAGACTGGTAAATATCTTATAGGAAAGGCTACATTCTCTTTTCCAGCAAAATAATCTCCTCAGACTCAGTGATATTTGTCGAATAATCCCCAGGCTTTGTGCAAGGGATTCTACAATGTACCGGCTAAAATTATTGACTTCACCCAAGGGTTACCTTCCAACACCTACCCCCGACCCAAAATTCTTTTACACAAATAAAGGGTGCAATTCCAGTGATCTAACTTACAACTGTAGTATATCTGTTCATCCCTATTTCCATGTTTTGAGTGCATTCGAAAATCAAAACAATTTCACAGCTTGTACCCTGCATGTGCAATACATCCAAACTTGACATATCCAATATTAACCCCTTTTTCCATTTTTCATCGAATGTGGAAATTCTCGAAAAACGAAATAAATTCTGACAATTTATCCAGCAAGTAGAATATATCCTAACATGCCAAATCCAATCTTCACCCCAATTTTCCATTTTCTCAATTAACTCTAGGAACCCGGGGTTAATTGTGACAATTCATCCTACAAGTAGATAATATAACTTTTCCATATCCAATCTTTACCCCGATTTGTTCAATTAACTTTAAAAAACGGGGTAAATCATGACAATTCAAGTAGTTAATACCATGACTTGCAATGTCCAACCATTTGTTCAACGAATTCTAGAAAAATGGGATAAGTTCTGACGATTCATTAAGCAAGTGGAATATAACCTTAGTTGTCATGTCAAATCTTTACCCCGATTTTCCTTAGTTGTAATGAATTAGTTCTAGAAAAACGGGGTAAACTGTGAGAATTCATAATACCCTTAGCTCCCATATGCCACCATATGCCTCCGAGTTTCCAATTTTGCCTTATCAAATCTTTACCCTAATTTTCCATTTTTTTCATTTATTAGAGACAAATAAGATACATCATAGCTTTTCATAGTCAATTTTCACCCCGATTTTCCGTTTTTTGAGTAAATTCTGGAAAAACGGGGTAAAATCTGAGTATTCATCCTATAAGTGGAATATATCCTAACACGTCACATTCAATCTTTGTCCCGGTTTTTTGCTTTTTTTCTAAGAATTCTGTAAAAAGTGGGGTGAAATCGGACAATTCATCCTACAAGTGAAACATATCCCAACTTGTTATATGTAATCATTAACCAATTTTCCATTATTTTCCGAGAATTCTACAAAAAAAAAAAACAAGTCATCTCATAAAAAGAATATATTCCAACGTGCCGATTGAATTTTTCAATGAATTCTGAAAGCGGGCTTAATTGTGTCCATTCATCATAAAATTGGAATAAATTATAACTCGGGACATCCCTGATTTTCCGTTTTTTCTAATTAATTCCAGGAAAATGGGGTTAATTCTGAGAATTCATCACCAGACAGATTGGAAGATATCTGAAGTCCAAAGCAAAGCAAGAAGAGGAAACCAGGTGTAAATTAAAGTGAGCATACCTACTATGTATGTTGTGACTTAATAACAAATTATTTCTATGTTTTAAAAATTTCCAATTTGGATGTTTTTTTATCATTACAATCCAAAACAGAGGAATACAAAATAAAACAAGTTTAAAAAAATTTGAACCTGAAAATATTTTAGTTGTAGCAATATATAAAAATACCTCACAAGGGCAACCACAATTGGCAATGATGATTAGAATTTTTTGTGTGTGTGAGGAGGGGAGGGGGAGAGAAGAAAGCCTGGATCAATGGACTACACTATAATGATGACCGCAACTACTTAAGAGCGTGTCCACGAGAGCACCGGGGCAGTCCTGTTGCATGCTATCTCACCAATTTCAGTGAAACTTTGCCAGTTTAAAGGGTCTACCCCAAAACTCAAGAAGACAAACTGGTTTCTGTTTTGGTTTTTTCCGGGGGAAAATAGACCACCCCCCGGTTTTTCCTGGTTTTCACCAAAGAAATCGCTTCAAAATAGGCAAAATGTATGAAGCTCTCACTGCGATGGTATTTGACCAATTACTCTGAGGGTTTGCACACATATTTTTACATCCTTAGTTAATGTCCGCAGCAAGTATCAGTCAATTTGACGGACGGCTTATCAATCAACAGAGGCAAATAAACGACTGTGTTTTTAGACTTTTCGATTCATCCAAATATTTGACGACTTTGAGGTCAAATATCTCCCCTTGCCAGAAAGCTACAACACTAATCTTGATTCCCCTTTATAATCCATCATTTCATGTCTGAAAATCATCAAAAAAAATCTGTGGGCACCACCGTATTTTTGTCTTGGATGCCTTTAAAATCTGCGACTGTGACAAGTTTCTCTCAACTACACCTGTCACGCAATTCTTGCTCTAAGCGGTCACTTTACTAAATAAACCGACATTTTTAAGCTCTTAATTCAAGATAACTAATCAAGAAAGGTAAAAAATGTGAAAAACTTTTGAGATTTGTTGTAGGAATGGAAAATTTCACATTTAGAGAGATGCATGTAGGCGGAAACTCTATGAGAAAATCGTAGCCTTTCTTTCCTCTGTCGTGTATTACTTTGAAGATTTATTAAAATCAGGAAATAGGGCTCTTGTACAGAACAAAACATTCATTAGTCTATAATTTTATTGTTTATTATCGTTATCGCACAGTTCACAATAAGGAAGCTGTAGCTGGAGAGGAGATTGTAAAGTCACATGTCGCGTGCTTGTTGACGTACAAGTTCCCGTGTGTAACGACTTCGGCTTTTCCAGACCGCGGATGATGGGAAACTCGTCCCCCCCCCTCCCCCCCCCCCCTCATTTGAAAAGAAATATCAATGCCCCATAAAATTTATCAACTGCGCTGTGTTTCCAGAAAATAAGACAGGAAACGTGTTTTCCACCATCAAGAAACTCCACGTAGAAATAGTATCTGTAGCGTGACTGCGTGACCTTTCATGAGAAGTAAGAATTGTTCGTGTTTTCTTTTCAAGTAACACTTCTAGAAAGTTCTTAATCAGATATCATCTGCATTTGCTATCATTTTTGCTGGTTGTCATAGCCTTTCCTGCGTGCACGTGCGAGCCAGTTCATATATAGCACTCTTTCGAGTTTCTTTGCGTGGTGTCGGACCTAGGTGTGCAGGTCTGGCTCAATAGATATCTGCACGCTACAACACTGGTTCCTATGTTTTCTCCTTTTTCTTTATTTGTATTTGTATTCTCTTCCTTGCATTATAACACATGTATGTTTTTTTTATTCCCTCAGCGCGTTCCCTCAGATTTGGAAGAAGGCTATGAAAAGTCAATATTGACCAGAACTGAAATCTTTTCTATCACCATTTGTTTCAAAGAACCCCAGTTATTTATAACTTTATTTCTCAAGAGAATGTGTTATTATTTGCTATTTATTTCCATTAGAACATGAAAATAGGTCCTGATAAGTTTTTTTGTTTCGTGACTCCTTAAAACTGTATTTGCGACAACATCAATTGAGAAATCAAAGGCAATTACGCCCGAGAAATTCGCTTTTAACCTTCTACCCGCAAAAGGTAAATCCATGTAATGAAGTCTTCTAAGACCTCTGTAGACTAGAGACACTACGTGATATTGAGGGGTCAAATATTTGCACTAACTCGGTGACCCTCAAACGGATCACTTACTCGTACATGTAACGTCCGAAAAATGTCACGCATGTATAACACCGTAGGCGCACCTGGCGCACCATTATGAGGCTCTGCACTAAAAATTCAGCCAACATGCTCTCCATGAACATTATACACTTAACGTGTGAATCCTCAAGACCAAGTGTCTTTAAATTCATTTCCGTTCCTGGGTCGTTAGTTGCTCGCTTTCTCTTCTTCAAACGAACAGTTTATCTTCAGGAACGAAATGATTTCCAACATTAATGTCAACTTTCTTTTTTCCTTCCTTAACGAGCTGCAGTTTGATGGTAGGAGCTACTTCCTCTGAGTTCTGTCCAGTTTTATCTTTGGGGTAGCTCACTGTTAAGTGAACGGTGCATCCGCGACTTATCAACTCTTGCTCATGCGCATCAGCAAGTTGATTGACAACTCTTCTTTCAACCTGCATCACAACCAATAATTTTTGCATGAGAATAATTCAAATAATAGCAAATATTTAGGTGAGGGTCCTCCGACTATGAAAATATTTCCACACTACAAAGAAAGACTTTCTGCACTTTCCAACAGCTACAGCATTTCATTCAATTTCAGACTGTGTCACCAACATTTCCACTATTTGCCAGCAACATAGTCTCCTTTCAACGGTGATTATTTCTCCCTCCATTTTATTGCTTTAGTGCTGGTTATATGAAAAAGTTTCATGTTATTTTCAGTTTCTCATATGGTTGGCGTTGAATTGTATCAAAACGCTTCATTGGTGTACCGTGGAACAGTATACCAATTGAAATTAGGAAACTAAATTCTGTAGCATAAAAGAACATGTTTGCCAAGATTTTTAAGGAACAACAATTTTTGCATCATTTCATAATTTAATAATTTATTTTTTATCTTATAATCGAATCCTGTCATATTTTATATTTTAACTGTATATATATATATTTTAGCTTACAGTATTTTAGATTGTAAATAGTTGTGAGGGCCACAAGTTTATTAGCCTTTGGCTATTAAGTGCCACCCTCTTTAAATAAAGGCTTTATTATTATTATTATTATTATTATTATTATCAGTGAGGAGAAGAGAAAAAACCTGACAAAAAGCCGTCGAAAACAAGAGGTGTGAGTATTTTAATAGAGGAGGAGAGGGCAAAATTGCACCATAAGGTAAAGTTGTAAACACATAATCGATCTTACTTCGTGTTTGATTGACCTCGCACCGTAATGTACGTCGTAGCCATCAGCCAGTACATTCAAGACTTCTTTATCCCAAGTCATGTGGATATCGTGTCGATTCAACGCCTGTATTCAAACAAAGAAGAAATTGGGCAAGGACTTAGATTACTTCTTTAACAACTGCTCAAGATCATTTACAAAATGTTACAGGAGAGCACATTACAGACCATTTTTGACCAGTAATCCAGCTCTTTTGTCACTAAACTTAAACGCTCTGGGTGTGAAAATGGCAGGAAGTACACAATCTCATTGATGCGACCCAGGAATTCGTCTCGTCCGAAGTGACTCTGTTGATACGAAGAGAAACAAAAAGCTTTTGGGAACATTTTCTGATAACTACTCTTTAGCTTTAACAAAAAAGAACTCTCACGAATTCTCAAGACATCACTCATTTTTCTCAATTTTATAAACCCAGGTTTGCTGTTATTTATCGCTAAAGGGATGTTTACCTTCAGAATAGGCTGGACCACTCTTTCTTTAAACTTTCTTGATATAGTAACCTTTTCACTTACTTCATCACCTGAAAAGAAAAACAGTGAACTCCTGCCCATATAACACGAGAACGCATCCACATTGGAAAAAAAAGAACAAACTTTTCTTCCTAAGACCAACTTTGGTTTAGTGTGTTTGTGTTACTTTTTTCCTCATTCCCCTCCCTTCTACCTTTTTATTCCAGTCAGGCTGCGTATTATTTCACGAGTAACTTGAACGAGGTAAGAATTTGTGTTATGAAATGTTGCACATCTTTCTAAACATATCCCGCATTTCGTCGTCCAACATCAGCAAAATTTAAGCCTCCACAACAAAAATCACCTTCTTGTCTTTGTTCAGCAGCTAGTTTTGCTTCTTTTCTCAGATCCAATGCATGATTTGCTATTTCTTCACTAGCAAGGTTTGACGTCATCACAAAAATGGCATCTTTGCATACAATTGTCTTCCCTTGTCCGTCCGTCAAACGACCCTGAATCAAAAACAGGTTTTTTTCATCAAAACTTAAAAAGAAGGAAAACAACAAAATGAAACATTTTCAAACCTAGTATGACTCAAATTGAAGAAAAAAAACAATCTTCACTCAAATTTAAGATGTATAGTTTAATTTATAGATGTTACCTCGTCAAACAATTGGAGCATGACTGTTAAAACGTCTGGGTGGGCCTTCTCCACCTAAAAAGACATTAAAAAATGCGATGAGCCCAGTGATTTTAGTCACACAAAAAAAAAACGTCTAAGAAAATTGAGGATCGTTTATTTCTTACCTCGTCAAATAACACTACAGCGTTTGGACACTTAATGAGTTCCTTTGTCAATTGTCCGCCTTGATCGTGTCCAATGTAACCTGGTGGTGCACCGATCATTTTCGCAACCTTGAAAGAAAGATGTTTAAGTTCCAGTTTAAGCGCTATTTGTTTGAGTGTAAAACCGCACAACAGCCAATGGAAACAAAGGAAAATACCACAACGAGCCAATGGGAATTGAGAGTCTCTGGGGAATCTTGAACTTTTTTAAGGAGGAGAATTCTGCGCCACCATCTCCCCCTCCCCCTCCCCTCTTGGCTACCCGTATAAACCTCTTACCTTAGTTGTCTATGTCAAAGGAAAGTTTCCTTTTTCTAAGAACGTTCTTTGAGTTTTTCATCCAAATCAACTCTTACCTCATGCTTTTCTTGGTATTCAGACATGTCCAGTCTTACCAAACACTGGGAGAGAGAAAGCAACTTTTAAATACTTCAACAAAGTGATAACCAAATACAACTGAAAAAAAATCCTGCACTACCTTCTTGTTGTCTTTATGAAGATAACGAGCCACTTGTTTGGCAAGCTCTGTTTTTCCTACAGGAAGGAACGATCAGAGAGAATAATGAAACGTCACAGTCATTAATAATGCAATATCAGATCGCATATGTTTTGTGACTAAATTCATATGTGTAAACTAAATATGTTCCAAAAAAGCACCGAAATTTACCAATCCCTGAAGATCCAAGAAAGAGAAACACAAGGGGATGTTCTTCATCATACCAACCATTTTCTCTTCTACGAATTGCTGCAAACAAATGAAAAACAGATTCAGTAGAATATTACTCCCAAAATTGCCAAACTGTAGTCTTCCAAACTGATTTTGTCGCATAGAAAATCATACCTGCAGCAACTGTGAGAATGGCTCCTTCTTGTCCTATGATATTCTCTTTCAATCTCATCTCCAAAGAATAGCGCCAACTTTCTTCAATCTCTCTCCTCTCTTTCCCTTTCAAACACTGAAAAACAAGTTGTGTCATTTAAATTACAAAACACAGCTGCAATATCTGTTATTTCTCTTAATTGACATTTTACAATCTTTTAATATTGACGATACAATTTTAAAAAATATTGCTATATTTGCCCTATACGATGCAAGCATAGCTCACAAAAATTTGAAGGACAGCTTCAGATCGACATTAACATCTTACCATATCCTTTATTTTAGTCCAGAATCCTATCATGCTTCCAATCCCAGCATATTCTACTGCTTGGTAGCTTGAGTTATTATCCTTAGGGGTTGTAACAGCTCCTATTGGCGATAAACAAAAAAACAAACAGACAGACAAGTAAGAAGAATAGCAAAATGTTATCATAAATAGCGAAAGGACCTCTTTTGATAAAACTCCTAATTTCTAACTAGGAAGCGAATTGCTTGATACACCACAAATTAATTTACCTTTTAGGCTTTAGATTTCACGTGTAGTGTCACGTGACTTTTGATGTAAACATACCGCGAATCTATCGAGTCTACCACCCACTACCCGTTTACGAACTCATTTCCACTATCGTGAAGCGTTTCTATGCTCAAAATTGACGTCTTTTTTGTTTCATGTGTTTGATTATATTGATATTTCGTTACTGCTAAGTAGATGCGAAGAATGTAGCAGGAATGTTCCGGCACGGAATAATCAAACTAGTTCTGCGTGCGTACAGCGATGTATCTGATTAAGTATTTTCAGGGCGTTAAGCGCGTAGTTTGTTAAATAAAATCACGTCTGATGGGAAATTAGTGCCTCAATGCGTTGGTTTCGAGGTGATGGCACATATCTATGGCTGTCTGGGTCATCTCTGAAAAAAGACTGTATGGCCGCTATAATTCAATTTTCAGTACCCAGATCAGTAACGAGATCAACTGGGCATCCACAATACTCTCCAACAGCATCAAGAAAATAGGCTGCCACGTTGTTTGGCTGGTTATTGGATCGCGGCGTTACATATAACCACATGATCTTCCTGCTTTAACCATCTATGCAACCATAAATCGGAAAACCGAATGGTTTCAGTTTATCATAGCCATCGCAATACCTTGAGTAGTTTGGACCTGGGTTTTGATAAATCCTTCTCCTTAGGCGGTGTGCTTTTCTTAAATCCGAGCCTTCCGGGTCCATCTCTCGAAGAAGTTCCTTTACAACGATGCGCGGTTATCTGGTGCCTCTTAGCTGTAGTATGTGCCACACCAACCTGTATCCTTGTAAAGATCCATGGCCGTCAATAATAGTTTGGACAGATGCTCTGACCTGATCGATATTGTATTCTGGTTGTTGTCTCCTAAGACCGTAACTCTTGATTCGACT